GAACTGCCAATAATCTTTTCTGCCATCCTCACCACACTCTGTACCGCCTTCCTGTCTGTAGCAGTGATGCTTTCAAACTAGACTGTAATGCCATATGACAGGATGCTCTCGGTTGTCCCTCTATAGAAAGTGGTAAGGATAGGGGATGTATTCTGTCTCCACTGTTGTTCAATATCTACTCTGAGTCAATCTTCAACAAGGCACTGGAGAACATCGATGCTGGCATCAAAATAAACAGTGTTTGGATCAACAATTTAAGATATGCTGACGATATAGTTCTGCTTGCCAGTAAGCATGAAGACCTTCAGCTCCTCATCAACAGAGTCACAGAAATATCTGAAAAATACGGCTTGAAGCTTAACACCTCAAAAACCAAGATCATGGTCATCAGCAAACAACCCATTAATTTACCACCAATAAATTCAGAAGGAATACCATTAGAAAAAGTTGAAAGGATCACGCATCTCAGTTCTAATTTACATGAAAGCTGGGACATGACCACTGAAGTAAAGACTAGGATAGAGAAAGCTCGAACAGCATTCTTCAAAATGAAAATGGTCTTCTGCATCCACGACATAAGCCTAAGACTGAAAATCAGGCTTGTCAGATGCTATATTTTTCCTATTCTGCTCTATGGAGTAGAGAGTTGGTCTCTGACAGAAGGCCACCTGAAGAAACTAGAAGCATTTGAAATGTGGATTTACAGGCGGCTATTACATATAAGCTGGGTTGACAAAATCAGAAATGAGGGGGTGATAAGCCGCCTGGGAAAGCCAAGGGAAATCATCAAAACAATTAAAAAACGAAAATTAGAATATTTCGGACATGTGATGCGACACCCAGAAAAATACGGCATATTCCATTTATTCCTAGGGAAAGATTGAAGGCAAACGAGGTCCAGGCAGAAGAAGAACATCGTGGCTTCAAAATCTAAGGGACTGGTTTGGACAAAACTCAGCAGCACTTTTTCGTGCGGCTGCTGATAAAAACAGGATTGCCAACATGATTGCCAACGTCCGATAACGGATATGGCACAAGAAGAAGGATAGGGGAAGAAAGATGTACTTTTCTCATGCGATGCAGAAAAATGCAGGCGCTGCTGTGCCCGCTTCACCAGTGTCTCGCTGTTGAGCAACCAAGCCAACCTATTCGTTAGCAGCATTCCCAGAAATTTGATGCTGCTAATCATCTCCACAGGTGAATCATTAATACCTAGAGGAGTGTGGCTGTGCCTGTCTTTTCTGAAATCAACAATGATCTCTTTAGTTTTTCCAACATTTAAAACTAGGCTGTTTTCCTTACACCAGTTTACCAAATCCTCTACTCCTTGCGGTAAGCACCCTCACTGTCATCTTGAATAAGGCCCACTAGAGATATACTGCACAAGCTAAAAATGAAGTGTCAATCCTTGGCCAATTCCTAGTTTGATTTGCTGCTTGTTTGCCATACAGCAACAACATAAGCACAAATTTAAAATAAAATTGCTATAATCACAAAGAGTATAACATCTATGAAATGTGCAAAATATTTCTATTTACTTCCTAAGGCTCTTTTCCATCCATTCAACTCTTGGTGATCAAGGCTGGATATGGCTTCAGAAAGTAGAGCTTCTTGCAATCATACTGCAAGAATATCAGTTTTTCCATCTTTCATCCACCAAGAAATAAGGTGTAAATAAGGTGTTTCCCACAATACCTGCCCAATGAATTAGCAGACTGACAAATACTAGAAATAAATTATTCCAAGGTTAAAGAAGAAAAGATCACTATTTGTGGTCATCTATTCCCAAGTGAAACCAATCAAACATCAATGGTCTAGAATAGGGCTACCAATTCTGGGCTGAAAAAAAACCCTGGACAATCTCTAGGTGGCAACAAAAAGTCATCCTGCAAAAATTAGGCTTTTTTGTAAACCAGTTTGCAAATAACCAATTTACACAAGGCAACATGGACACCAGAACTAAACCTGCAACTTAAATGCCAACTTTGTTTCCATATTCATCAATATTACATAGCCTAATAGTTGTACCTACAACAACTGGGGAACTTAAACCATTTTATGGTCCCGTTATGGTATATGCTACCATTATTCAATAATATCCTGCCAGTTAACATTGGGCAATTTAGGCAATAATAAAAAATAAACAGGCAAAATCTATAAACATAAATAGCCATATTGAAAACTAGTGAAAGTACATTTGACTCTTTCAAGACATTCTATGTTGACCCCAAGAGTAATTGAGAAGATGTATACAAAGTGTGGTTTCAAGATGAAATAGTGGCATCAGAAATTATTAAAAGATTTCATGGATTCATCAAAGATCAACATTTCTTATTTCATAATATCCATTCCTATACTGAATGTTTGTGGCTCTTTCATCATTCTCTCTCCTCTCTTACTTTCCATCAAACAAAAATTATGCATTTGTGTGTGGGAAATCTGATGTAATCATAAATGTGTTTAAGGGGCTACAAGACCTGTTTTGCATTAATTTTACTGCTCATTTTATCAGAGACAGGACCAGACAATAGCAAGTTTATTGCTCATCAAAAATTGCAACATCAGTATGTAGGTAGTCCTCAACCTATGACAATTGGAACCAGAATTTTCATTGCTAAGCAGTACAGTTGTTAAGTGAGTCGTGCTCAATATTACAACTTCTTTTGCCATGGATGTGAAGCAAATCACTGCAGTTGTTAAGCGAATCCAGTTTCCCCCATTGAATGTGCTTGTCAGAAGCCAACTAAGAAGATTGCAAACAGCAATTAGATGACCCTGGCTGTGGGGTGCTGCGATGGTCATAAGTGCGAGGATCAGTTGTCTTTTTTTTCAGTGCTGTTGCAGCTTCCAACAGTTAGTAAACAAATAGTTGTAGATATTGGAGATTATCTGTACTAAAATGCAAATATGAACTCATATTATTAATCTTGCAGGAAAACAGACACAGTACACTATATTTATGAAGGAGAATGTTTGTACCTAAAGGTTGAAATGAGTGCTCCTTGGTACTCGCTGGGCATGGTTTTTTTCTTGCAGACATTTCATTACCCAAACTAGCTAACAGCACTGATAATGTTACCTAGTTTGGGCAATGAAATGTTTGCAAGAAAACAACCAAGCTCAGAGAACAGCAAGGACCACTCCCACACTATATTTCTTATCCCAGTATCCTTATAGTGATTGTCTTCAAGAGGTACCCTAGCTTTCTAAATCATAGTATTTTGTAATGGCTCCTGCATTACAAATGTGAGATTTAATCTAAATTCCAGTCTTCAAATAATTTCAATGTAGAGCAGACAAAAAAAATTCAGGAATAAGATCTGCAGCATCATACTTTGGGATAGGACAAACACATTTTCCCCTTTTCCTGTTACACAATTGAAGTAAAACCAAAAACCTAGTATTTAAGACAGGCACCCTTTTGAAAGTTGGGAAAGTTTATTGGTGTTTTTTTTCCCCCAGCTCTGAAAGTTAGGTCCTACCCAGGTAAATTTTATTTGCTCAGTTCCTGTATAGAGGCCGTAAAGGGATATCATGAATCAATTCTTTGATCACAAACAATGTTAGTATTAAGTTTAGGTCTCTAGATTTATATATAATGCATATGCAAGTATAGAATTTGCTCTTTCAAGTTCTTAACAAGCCACACTTAACATTCTTGGGTGAATGAAAGCAAAAGTTTTTTCCGGGAAGAAAAGGATCTTGGAGAGTTTCTTCACACCCCTCAATATTACATTAACATTTTAACTTGGAAAAGAAAGGGAAAGCTTGGAAGAACAACATTTCCCACCCTCCATAAAAAGCCATTGAATCCATTATTTCCATAGGAAAAAAATATTTTATTTTTTTTTAAAGAACAAATTCAGTTTGAAACAGATGTGGAATGTGAATTTTCAGATTTCAATTTCTCAAAGGGGCTAACTGCAACATAGAACAAAGCAGATTTCAAAACTAAGACAGTCTATGTTTTTTTTTTTTAAAAAAAGAAAAATATTTATAACTCAAGCATAATACTGTGTTACTTACAAACTGGACAAAGGAATTTTTAAATAAATATTCATGGTACACAGTTACAGCACAAATATGCAGCAATTTGGCAACCTTTTTAAATCTTATCTCTTTATCCTGGATACTGTGCAAAGGGGAATGACACGGCCTTTAAACAAGCTGTAGCTAAATACATAGCAAAAGTCAGATTTTATACAAAACATCTTGCTTAGACTTTATAAAAAAACCAGTGTTGCTCTATATACACAGTCTGGTTAAGAAAAGATGTTTATTCTTGATTCCATGTGTATTTTTAATTGAATCTTTATTTAAAAATGTGAATAAGGCTACTGTAACACCCCAAATCCATATACAGTCAATCTCAACTTATTTACAGCATCTTCACTCTTAAACAGGATGATGTAAATTTTCAAAAAGTTAGGGCTAACACAAGCAAGGCATTTACAGTAACTTTTCAAAGCTGAACCAAACACCAACCTCAAGGAATAGTTGGTAAGATTGTCATTATTCTGCACAAGACACGACACAGGTAGACGGGGCTCCTTTCTCCCAACCCCCTCCTGGGTTGCAGGGTGCTCTTCTTTATAGATTTATTCCAATATCTCCCCTCCCCATTTTTAGTACATTATGAGAAGGGAACTAACTGGCTAAACAACCTCTTTCAGGTTTTGTTTTTTAAAACTACCCCATCTATTCTTCACTTCCCCTTCAAATCCTAAGGACGTACAAGAAAAACCTTGCATGGATGGGTTCTTAGAGGGAAAAGCTTTAGGAAAGGACTGCTTCTGTGCTGTGGCTAGTTACCATAGTAACCTCCCACAGAACCATGCTACTTCTCGCTTTCCTCTCCCTCCCCTCCATCTCTCCCTTTCGTGCACCAACGTCATTTTCAGGTTCAGGAAATACCAAAAGTAATCATTTCTATGACAGGATTCTGTGGTGTAGTGTGGTGTGGTGGTTTTTCTTTTTCTTTTTTTTCTTTTTTTTTTTTTGCATGTGCTCTGTGGAAGTTGAGAACCTTAAAATGCTGCAGCTACAACTTCTTTTGAGTCCAGAAAGTGAAGTGTTGCTATGGTAACAGGACTATGTGATAAGACATCTATTTTGCATAGCACATTAAAAAAAAGTAGATTTATGTCCCCCAGGGTGCAGAGGTTGGAGGAGAACAACAACTATGCTTCAAAGCAGGAACTTTATAGTAAACTTTCCTATTGGTATCCAGCTCAAAAAATACTCCATCTCATAAGGCAAGGCGGGAAAACACAGCACAAAAAAAGAAAAGCCATATCAGAATATCTTGTTAAAATACATTGTGTAGTTATACACTTATCTCATGATTCAGGGGCTTTGTTTCCTAGTCTACTGGTTATGTAAGACAGCTAAGAGGGCTTGATTATTTTTACATTTCTTCTCAATATTGTTCTTTTTGGAGTTAAAAGATTTATTTTCCCCCAGAAGTAGCCAGATTGATTTCATGGTCATAGAGGAATTTCACATCTTCTGTAAGGATTCTGTGCAATTTCAATATATAGATATATTAGTAATCTGAACAAAATCTGCTACCATACATCCCTTGGGTTCTATACACTTATTATAAATAAGTCACATTATACCTCCCCTTCTTGTAGCTGAATGTGTTGCATCTTTGTGGATCACAAGTGGTTTACCATATGTGCTTTATTTCAGAAAGAGAAAAATCCCACGAATGGCAGTACAAGACTAACTCAAAATGCACTGCCAAAAATCAGAATGTCAAAAGGCTTGATTGAAGGAAAAATACAATCCTGACCAATTTTAATATAGATGTGAATGCTTTGTTTTAAGTGATGGAATTATAGCCCTCTCGACCATTAAGCTTGTGATTTGTCTATGTCAGATGTTGCTGTTTTCTTTTTCCCTATGATTAGATAAAATATGATAAGTAATAGCAGCTGTGTCTGCTTAAAAAAAAAATCATTTGAAGCAGACCAAGATTTTGCTACAGCTAATTCAAAGCTGTACATCTTATTGCTGGTAAAGTACCACAGCAGTCGTGCCCTAATATATCACCAGCAGCCTTCCATTGTCTTGTCTTCCAGGCACATTAATTTACTTGCACTACTTTGTGGGAGAACTATTTTCTCCTGCAAGTTACAATTTGAGAAAACCTTGGCATCCTTCAAGTACAGACCCTAATCAGCTGCTCCTATTGCTGTGTGTTAACACTCTTCATTGAACTCCGGATATCAAAGTGCTGTGCTATTTAAATTGTCTAGCTTTGTCTAGTTGATATTCCAGAGACAGTAGCATTCTTTCAGCCCTTCCCTCTCTCTTCTGCCACATGTCACTTCTATTGTGGATTCGGCTGACAAGCTAGCTTTTGGTTGGAAGATCTCCTTTCAGCAAGCCCAAAGTCTCTCCCAAAGCATTATCCATTCAAGTAAGGCTGCTTTCACAAATAGGTGGAATATGGAATGGTAAAAATAATTTTTAGAAAAATCACTTTTCCAAAAGCAATGCATGGTATGGAGTGCATAAATTTTCATATGAAGGATGACAGAATGTTGTTTGGTTGAAGTAAAATGTCACAGGGACTGACTAAAACAAACAAAAAAGTGTAAAATCTTACTTAAAAGCAGAGGTCTTGTAAGACAAATCCATGAGCACCAAGAGAAGCACACACAAAGTCACAGGGCTGCATTTCAAGCTTGATGACTTAAGACTCTCTTCCTAGAATGCCTAAAACCATTAGTATCTGCGAGTTGCTCCATCATCCCTGGGGGTTTTTTGTACGTGCCTGAATGCCTACAGCACATGGCTTAGAAGGTGATGAACGAACAGCAATTGCTATGGGAATCTTCTATGTGACTTCTTCCAGCTTCCAAGTAAATGCTTGTTCACCAAGACAGGAATTCTACAGACTTGAAAACTGCCCCCTCAAAGCAGCTCTCTGTAATAGGGTGGAGCTTGCTGTTCCCTCCTCTGCATCTGGTCCAGGAACCCACAAAGTGGCTCATCACAATCCCCAACCTCTGTGTCATGGATAGCATTTGACCAGACAGAGAGAGAGTTTCAAAACAGGAACCACACTGAGTGTTTAATCAGACCTTGTAATAAATGTTTGCTGGGCTTTGAGGGGGCATCTCTTGAACTATGTACACAGGATGTCCATAGTCACCACTGACTTTCTCATAGTGAGGGCAAAAGACACTATCTGCAGTCCTCAGAGGGATGATAATGTCACTGGGTTCAGACCCGTTGTTGTTCCCACTGCGTTTGGGGGTTGCTAATGTACTAAGCGACAAAGTTGTCGTGTGCTGAGGCGAATGCTTCCTGTGTCTCCTTCGATACTTCAACAAAAGAACCACCAGTGTGATGATGATGAGGAGGAATATGATGGACCCTGAAGCTATCCCTGCAAATAAGGCCACCTCTGAACCAAGGATACTGGAATGTCCAGCTTTGCTCCCATCTGAGTTGGGACCTAGGAATAAGGATGGAGGGAGAAAGGGAGAAAAAGAGAGAAAGAGAAGGGAGAAATCTAAGTTCAAAACAATCACTGTCCATCACCACTTTGTAGCCATATTTAATTGTCTTCTGAAAACCTGAATAGCTAGATGCAACCAGTCATTTGCATTACAAAGAGACATTCTGACTGTTGCTCTCCTATCATGTTGCTCCCAAATTACACTTTGTATCTATTTTCACCCATCAGAATTGAAGGACAGCACTGATAAAACAGCGTTTGATGCATGTCGTGTCTCCCCAGAAGTTGGCCACCTTAAGGCAGCTAATAGAATAAAAAACTCATCTGTCACTATCTTTTACAAACACCAATTTGTATGAAACTATACTACTGTTTGTTTGTCTTTTCCTGTCTACATATGCATCTTTATTATGTAGCCCAGAATTTAAAACAAAATGTAAATACTGATGAGTAGAATAGCTATCTGTAGACTTCAGTGTTCTAATACTGACTGAAAGAACTGATAGCTTCATATCAGTATTGGGATTTTATTCAAATCCAAGTCTTGGAACTGTCTTCAATAGCTTTTCAAACCCAATGTTACTCAACTGTTACACAGACTATCATATTTTGTAGTGGGGCTTCATGGCCCATTGGAACCTTCTAGAGCAGACATGTCAAGCTTGCGACGTCACATGATGTCGCACAATGTATCGGGACAGTTTTGCCATTGCCGGCAATGGGGTGAACGCAGCTTCCGTGTGACACGTCCGGCCCGTGGGCCGGCAGTTTGACACCCCTGTTCTAGAGTAGTATTTTTCAAACTTGGCAACTTTAAGATGTATGGACTTCAGCTCCCAGAATTCCCCAGGCCATTCTGGTTGGGTAATTATGGGACCTGAAATCCACACACCTCAAAGTTGTCAGATTTAAAAAAAACACTACTCCAGAAGGTTCCAGTGTGTTTGTCATAGTTAGTAGGACTTGCTGCTTATAGAATTCAAACAGTAAAAGTTGTGAATCAGAAGCAAGCATAATATGAGCAGCAATCCTTATTGCAAGGATATTTCAGTTTTATTAATTACATCAAATGCTCTCTCACTGGAAAAATCAGTGCTAATTTAGCTGCAACTGGATGCTTGATTTAAATGGGAATATTGCTGTGATGTTAAATTTAGGTGAAAAGCCATTGCACATTATATTTCTAGTATAAAAGTATTGATGTTTGCTAGCTGCCCACTAAAAACTCTATAAACATGAGGGCAAATAAATTTGAAAAGAAGCCATGAAACAACTAATGAGAATTTTAAAATAAACTAGTATCTATGATTGAACAGTAATCTCAGTTTGCTGTTCTTTCTGCTAACTTTCTCCAGTGTATTCTTTCTTGTTCAAGTGAAGTAAAGAGAAGAAGCTGATGTTAAAGAAGTGGCTGGTAACATAATTAACGAAGCAAAAATGCCAACCACCATGGCATGCCAATACGAAGAGAGAGGCCTTTTGAACTTCATTTATCAGTTTCAGGAGATGGGATATCGCAACACAGAGTCACCATCATGCAAACTTTATGAATGTAGTAGTGGTTGGTTACTCTAGCAGAAGAGCAAGCTGCTGATGTCAACAGGGACAACCTTTGTACAGCAACTATATGTTTGCATGGGAAGCTGAAATCAGGACAATATCTTTATTGCTAGCCTCTCCAAGTAACAGCAGGCTGGTAGTTTCAGGAAATGAAACTTTCATAAATGCTGCCAGGAGACAATGATGGCAATCCATAAGTGATTAAATATAAAAATATAAATATAAAAAGCATACCAAATAAGAGGATTTAAGGGTGTTTAACTACTGTATGTCCTGGACTGCAACCAATGTTTTTCTTTTTTTCTTTTTAAATTAAAATCCATTTCTTATAATTGCAAAATGTTTTAGAGCAAGATCTGTTTCTAAAGATCAGTAGCAAATATGTACGAAACCAAATTCATATGAAATCAAACTGGAGAGAGAGAGATTACATTTTTTTGCAGAAGTTTTACCTTCTTTTGGATTGGTATATTCTTTTTTAAAATTGGCTGTTATATATTGAATTTGTTTAGTTTGATTAACTAAAGAGTCTCTTCCCAGGAGACTCTTCCATGAACAGATAGAAAAATGTGATGCATAGATTGTCCCTTGATCAGCAGCCAAAGCTCCATGGCCATGCAGGTGATAAGGACAAAGGAACATACCAGAATGATATAAAGGAAGCTCTGAAGCTAAGCATTTTCATTCCTCAACATACTCTGAATTTGTATGTGTGAGAGAGAGGGTTATGCCAGTCTTGGAAGAGACAAAGATAACTTCTTTCCAACAGATCAGTGGGGAGGAAGCATGTTTTTAAGAAGAGGAAAAAAGGAAAAAAGCCATTCTGTCACTCTTGTTGTAGCTGTTGCAAGCTCTAAGGAGTTTAGGAAGTGGTAGCTCCTCTACCATAGATAATCTCTCCCCCATCCCAGTCTCCATAGGATTGCACTTAGATAGCCCATAACAGACCCTCCTTCAGGATCTAGATGTTCTCCTGTTTACCTGCATGATCCTTTACAAAGGGACTTGTTGTGGAGCTTTTCCCGTTGGTACCAGCTTCCTGTTCCGGGCGTTTAGTTGGATCAGCATTATTTGGGGACCCACCAGAATTGGGAACTGAAAGAACACAAATGATTCACTACAAACTAATAATAATGTGCTTTCTAAGCTGGTTATTAATTTTCATGAGGCATGAATGGCTTTGAACAGAAGGTCATTTATTTAGGACTACAAGGAGATACGAAAATCTAATTTTCCTCTTTAAAGCAATTTTTTTTAAAAAAAGCTATATAGTTATTTTAGAGATTCGGATTGTGAAGCTATCAGCAAAAATGAAGGGGATTCCTGAAATTGGCAAGAAAGCCTTTGCAAATGACATTTCAGCACAGCCAAGCAAATTGATTGACTACTAAATCAACCTCTAATTAGGAAGAACAATTCATTCTTTCCCTGTACAAAGACCATGAACAAAATCCTCATTTTTAGTGAGGTTTTGTTACAAGCAAAGCTGTGAAAACATTAGCTCCCTCTCCTTTTAAAACAATTTTGAGCTGTGAAACTGTACTTTAATATATAGTCTACAAGCAAGAATAACTGGAGCACATACTATTCAAGGATGACTCGAAGATCTTAGTGAAATTAACCCTTCTTATAAAATGTCAGTAACTTAGGTGCAGAAAATAGAATTTTACTTCAGAGTATAAGACAGTTTCACCCACTTTGCAAACCAGGGCCACTGAATTGGGGAGTGAGAGCTGTTTACAATTGTTGAATAAATAGTAATAAAGATAATCACTACCTTGTTCAACTTTCATAAGGATCTTCATGGCTTTTGTCTGGCATACACCTCCTTCCTGGTTATCCAAGCCTTCAAGAGATCCATTGGATGTTGCTGATTGGAAAAAGAAAAAAAAAATCAAATGAAAGTTTTCAGGATGCCAACATGTATAGCCACCTAAAACAAGAAAACAGATGTCACTTGTCCAAATTTACTTCTGCTGTTCAGGTTTATCCAGAAAAAGCTGGAAAATACTGGCAATTAAGAGAACAAATAAACATCCAATGCAGTCTGTGTTTTTAGTTTCTAATTCATCCAAGTGCCTTTTTCCATAGCTGTCAACTGACTTATTATGCCCGGTGTTTGGTCTACACACCCTTGAAAAAATGAGTTAGTTCAGAAAGAAGTCTGCTAAGTTCAGCAAAACAAGGAAATTTAGTTTTTAATTTTTTTATTGAACTAAAATTCCACAGATTAAACAAATCAATTATTTTTAGATTGTGAAAAATTGTGAATACCTTTGATTTACAGTTTGTAATAGTTCATTTATACATTCCAGTGCTTGCCTTTATATACTAACAGAGTAAGATATGATGTGAATTGAAGCCTAACATCTATTTTACCTTTTGTATCTTTAATGAGGCAGGCAAGCTCTGCCTCCTTTTACTTGAAAAATTAGTAAAAAGGGCATCAGAGATAAAACATTTTTAAAAAAAAGATATAATAATTCAAAAAATCATTTACTTCATTTCTAATTCCTTAGCTACCTTACCTTACCTTACTTTACATTTATCTAGTAATATATACCAACCCTAATTGAAAAGTGACACTTTCTCCTTAAAAACGGAATCACATTGCTTGGCAAAAGTCTCACTGCAGCAATCGTATTCTTTCAGCTTACCACTCTCTTTACACAGCTCAAAAGCATGCTCTAAAAATGTTGAGTATGCAGTTCAGTTGAGAGCCAAACACAAGGAAAGTGTCAGTACTAGTCCCTCAGAAAATTGCCAGTAGAATAGAACAGGTGAAAATGTCTGCCATGTTATTGATTAGAAGACCATAAGGGGCAATCTAATCCACAATGTTTAGTACAGAAATCATCCAGAAATAGTCTTGCAGATTGTCCACCTTGATTTACAAAACTAAAGTTACTAATGTATTGCGTCCCAGCCAAATGGCTGATCTTCATTTCTAAAGAAATCTTCCCTACACAGAGCAGGGGGAGGGAGGAGAGAGAGGGATCTTCAGCCTTTCACAGCGCATATGATGCATCTGGCCACTTACTCAAAATATGAAAGAAAAGGAATAAGAGAAGACCATGAAAACACTTGTAGGGTTTCCCATGGAGAAAAAGTAATTAAATGGGACTTCTGGCACTAAGCAGAATCTCTCTTTCATCTAATTTAGATAGGGCCCCATAAGTCTTCTTTTTCTTTAGGCCTTTTAGTTATCCCACATTTTTCCTGGGGGATTTCTTTTCTTAAAAAATGTACCTTATATATATATTTCCTGTTTTCTTCATATGCCCAGAGTCTTTCACTAGGTCTTCCCAGCCCCATGTTGATATTTTTCTTTCTCTAATCTTCTCACTAGCTGCAAAAACTATGAACTTTTTCTCTGCCTTTGATCTACTTCTTGCTTTTGTTCTACTTCTCCCTCCTTGTGGGTGTAACATAATTCCTCCCTACGTGAACTTCCCTTTCTTGCCGCTCCTTCTATTTTTCTGGATTCTGGAGAGCATTTTGTCTTTTTGTGTTAGAGACTAACAAAATTTCACCTCTTCATTTTCTAACTTCTGCTGTACATTTTTAAAGTGAGTAATTCGGGAGAAAACAGATCTGATGTGTTACATCTGCACTGCTAGAAAATAATAGAGATGTATAGTTTTGTTTTGCTGAGATCTCTTTCTTCCCCCAGAGAAAAGAAAATCAATACTAAGAACCAGTTTTGAACATAAATCAAATGCATCTTTTGTTGTGTTTTTATGACCTTTTGGGTTTTGCCTTTGTCCCCATACGGTTTACAGAAATAATAAAATTAAATTCTAGTAGACAGCATAGTTAATAAACTGTGACTTGTTCTTCTTAATGCCAAAATGCAGAAATTCACCTTTTTTTTAAAACTTACCTTACTCTGATTAAAATGTAAGTGTGTCATGCTGATTTTCAAAAAGAAAAGGTGTGGTTTGGTTAACTTAACTAAATGCAACACTAATCATCTAAACAATCCAGAGCTTTATTCTCAAAACAGAACAACAACAAAAACCCTTCAAAACTAGTATTGCCAAAGAAATATATACTATTATGTGGTTGCTTTCCTTAAGGAACTGAACCTGCCTAGGCTTGAAGCTGGTTTTGCAAAAATGCTCATGTTACATTTATAATTTAGTGTAGTCTGAAGGAGTTATGAATATTTTGGTAAATGATTTTCTAATAAAAAGTATCAGAATTCTTTACCGTGGGATCTAGTGACTCCGTTCAGAGCCCATTTTTAGATATATTTTTATATATCTAAATAACCAAGTGAATATTTTCCTGCACTGGCTAATGTGCAGGAAGTGTGTGTGCATTCGTGCATGCATGTGACATGTTGTTTATAACAAAAGAATGTCAATGTTTAGTTAATTCTGCTAGAACATTTGCATATTAGAACACGCAGGCTATTATATTCCTCAGCTTTTATCCTTCCTTTAAATATATTTCAAATACATGTATAGATCCAAAAACACAAACCAAGGCTCAGCTCCAATGCAACTACAAGTCAATGTGGTAGCCTTGACTGATTATTCTTTTCCTCCTTAGGGAGGAAGGCTGTCTTGAAGGCTGAGGAGAGAAATGAGCCAGGAAAACCATACAAGTGCTCTATTTCTGTCATGCTCCTGACACTACCCACATTCAAACTGTTACCGTCATCCACCATATAAAAGATGCAATAGATTGCTGCGGACCATGTAATCGGAACACAGCAAAAGTGTACCATAATAAAAAATAGGCAGCTAGCTACTTACAAGCAACTTGCTAGGAAATCAATCAGTTGCGCACGCTCGCAAATTAAAGGAAAAATCTCTAGGTTGCCACATTAGCTAAATTTACTTTTCTGTTATGTCCAAAAACATTTGCAATTTACAGCTCAGCAGTAAGGTTTTCGATAACCATATTTAAAACCACAATAAAAGAGTTTAGATATGCTGCTCCCATTTTTTTAAAAGAATACTACCTGTATTTCAGTCAAAATTGCTATGCAAAGAAACATAAAAACTGGGATCATATTTTGAATGCCTCTGTATAAATAAATGCCTATGGAGATTCTCAGTCATCCAGGAGCTGAAGAAGCTTCTTGGATGAAAAGCGAAACGTCTTCGAAGAAAAACAAGAAAGTTCAGTTCACTCATGAAAAAGCATCTTTGGGACTCTATATAAATGTTTACACATATTGATTTCTGCATTTTTAAACAGGTTTTCTAGTTTTCTATTATTTAACCTAGTACTACATAGTACTCAACAAAGGGAGAGAGCTTAATATTTTCTAGGATATTTTAGCATTTAGAATACAACCTAGAAATTAAAGTTTTATTATTAGTATGCTATGAAGCAGAAAGAATTTTTCTCATATTTGAGATAGAAATAAATTAGGTAATGTTAGAAAATTTATAAACTAAAAAATATCAACCATATATTTCTGCTATAGAAGCACAGTGTGTCTTAAACTATGTTAGCTTAGTCAAATGTAAACTTATTTCCATCACAGAGATATTTATATGGTCCCACTTATTTTGTAAATGTAAATTTTTTTAAAAAAGCATGGCTACAGCAATAAAAATTAAGAGCTGTGCAAGGCATTTGAAATGGATATGTCCCAAAGAAAAGGAGTGTAGGAAAGCATGCCTGTTCAAATCAACACAACACATCCTTAAGAAGGTCCAGCATTACAACTTTGAAGGGCTTTCCCACAAGTGTTCGTGTGTTCAAATGCACACTGCTTTCCTGCCAGTCTTCGCATGCACAAACAATAGTTGTCCTGGTATTGCCAGTGAAACAAAGAGACTGGGCACAGGGATACAAGTACAGCGGAGACAAGGCTTTCAGAGGACCTAGCTGCTTTAATGCTTTCAGGAATAATGTTTTAGTCAAGCCCACTTTATTTTGCAAAGTGCCGCTTTTCAAACTTTAAACAGTCAATATAAAGATGTTTCCTAGATTTTGTGTGGCGTGGGTGTGTGAGTGCACATCTTTGAGTCAATGCGCACTTCTGGCAATGGCCTGGATAAGCCCTTTTAGTTTCTTGGCAAAATTTCAAATGGGATTTGTCATTGCCTTCTTCTTTTTAGGGCTGAGAGTGCACAACTGGCCCATGGTCAACCAGTCACAACTGGCCTAAGCGGGAACTAGAATTCACAGTTTCTAGCTTGGTGCTTTAACCACTATACTAATCCTAGAATTACTTAGAATATCTACATTTTGATCTTCAGCAGGCAATCTTATATTAAAATGGGAGTCTTTCAATCAAGATTTGATTTGTTATATATCTTCAGAAATCTGTGAAATCCTTATTTATAGAAATGTATCTCACTCCAAATGAAGAAGGGAAAAAATAGAGTGATATATACAAAGAATGTCTGTGGTATTATTTTTATACAGTCCCTGTGGATTGGAAATAATATTAAATTTTAATACTTCTTCATTTGACTGTTATTACTGCCTCCCTAGAAGGCTAAGCCACTGCCTAAGTCTTGGCTGCTTTCAACCTATCAAGTTAGTAACATTGTTCTAATCAGATGGAGAATTAAGCTTCTGGATTTATGCCTAGATGCAGCCTTTCATTCACAAAGAGATTAAAAACAAAGGCAAGACATACAAAACACACAAAATCAAAACTGATTCTTAATTCCAAACAGAGTGCATTTTTTTAAAGCAAGCAAATATGATTGAATATAACTGCAGATGGTAACAGTCATTTACCAATTGGATTCTAGTGTCCACTCCAAATGCATCCGCATTTTTAAGCAGAGTAATATAATCCCCCTTTGGGCTACAATTTAACCAATAATTTAATTAAGAGGAAATAAGATGAATGATGCATTTGATTCATACTACCTTGTGAATAATCTTGGAAGA